GGCCATTCTTCTTCTTCTTCTTCTTCTTCTTCTTCTTCTTCTTCTTCTTCTTCTTCTTCTTTATAGTGTGTTGGTGCATAATTATCGGGCGTTTTTTTTTTTTTGGCGAGTTATCTCTTAATAAAAATAACTGTTTTGTTTACTTTTTTTTAATAAAAATATTATTTTATTTTTCAGGTTATAAAAATGCGTGTCGATAATCATATGCTCCGGAATAATCATTTAAAAATGGTATTGTTGAATTGATATGTTATTTTCTTCATAATAAATATTGTTTAAAAAACACCTGATAATTATGCACCAACCCAATACTACTACTACTATTATTATTATTATTATTACTACTATTACTACTAATGTTGTTATCATCCTCATCCTGGTTCCCGTATTTTCCCGTTTTGCGATGAACGCTGTTCTCACAGTGAGGGCCCGTAATTTGAGCGCCTCTTGGGCCTGAAGCTCAACCCGGAGCTCAAGTGGAACTCGTCCATATAGTCTATCGCTAAAGATTCAAGAAAAATGGCTGGTTTCCTGTACCACTCCAGTAAGTACCCGACTCCTCCTGAAAAATTTTAAAGATCCATTTCAGGCTTAAAATAGAGTAACGGCGTCATATATGGACTGGAACTGCCCAGTCTTACCATTCCAGCCTTGATAGAGTCCAAAAGCGTCTCCGCATCCTTGTGGGTGATGAATTATTTTCCACCTTCCAAACACTTTCATATAGACGAAACGCCGCAAGTTTCTCACTGCTCTGTCGCTATTTTCATGGAAGGTGTTCAGACAAAGTACATTCCTTATTTCCACCAATTCTAACCTTCACGACTCAAATCCACAATGCCTCGCAGTAATTTAGCGAACTACCATCTGTCCTCTTCGTATTCCTTTGGTGAGGTGCAAGTTCCACTCGAGCAGATTCCTCCCACATTCGCCCCCCCCCTTGTGTAACTGCCAAGAGGCTGCTTCCCCGATCACTACGAATCTAACCTGTTCACGACTAGGGTTAATCGATATATTTTCGATATATTCCCATAAACTGTGCTTCTTAATCTGTAACCCTCTACCTCAAGTGGTTCTTGTGCCTTTTACAGCGTAAATATCAGATTAATAATAATAATGATATTTTTTTATCATTATTATTATTATTATTATTATTATTATTATTATTATTATTGTTATTGTTGTTTTTGTTTCAATTTTTTTTACTTTTTCATTCCTTTTTACGTGTATTTTTACGGACTTTCTTTTACTTTCTTCTCTCCATTTCTTCTCCTTCTTCTTCTTCTTCTTCTTCTTCTTCTTCTTCTTCCCAATATTATTATTATTATTATTATTATTATTATTATTATTATTGTTATTATTATTATTATTATTATTACCAATTTTCGTATTATTTTTTATTTCTTTTTATTAGTATCATTTATGGTCTTTTTTCACCGCTTCCTTCTTCTTCTTCTTTTTCTTCTTCTTTTTCTTCTTCTTCTTCTTATTTACATTATTATTATTATTATTATTATTATTATTATTTTTGTTGTTTTTGTTGTTGTTGCTATTATTATTATTATTATTATTATTATTATTATTATTAATCATAATAATAATAATACTCCACTTCCTTTCTTTTTGAAATCATTTCCTTAACTGCTTCCTTCATTCTTACTTTTTCCTCTTTTGAGCTTTCTTCTCACCTCCTTTTTCTTTTATTCACCATCTTCTTATTACCGTCCTCCTTTTCTTACTCTTTTCCTTCTTTCTCTTTTTATTTTTTCCGATTTCTCGCCATTTTCCTTCTTTTCTTTTTCCTTCTTTTCTTTTTCTTTCTTTCCTTCACCTTATTCACCATCATCATCCTCACCATATATTAGTTATTTTTCTTCCTTGTCATTTTTCTTCTCGCTTTCTTTTTCCCCATCATCATCATCATCATCATCATTATTATTATTATTATTATTATTTCCTGCTGTCTTATCTATGTTTCTTCTTCATATTTTCATTCATTTTTGCCCTATTTCCCTCATCGTATCCTTCTTTTCTTCCCTTTTACTTTACCCTTTTTTTTTCCTTTTTGTTTTCTTTTTTTCCTTCGCGTCTTCTTCTTTACGTCCTCCTTTTATTCTTCTTTTTTTTTCCTATATCTTCTTCATCATCTTCTTCTCCACAATTTTTTGGTATACTTTTAATCTTTCTTCTTCTTCTTCTTCTTCTTCTTCTTCTTCTTCTTCTTCTTCTTCTTCTTTGTAATTTCTTGCTATTCTTATAATCTTTCTTAATTTAAGCAGACGTATTAAAAATATGTTTTAAGTTTTTTCATTTCCTTCATATCTCCTCTCTCTCTATCTATCTATCAATCTATACATATATATATATATATATATATATATATATATATATATATATATATATATATATCTTCTATCTTTCCTTCCTCAAATCATTATCTTGTTTTCGCTTTCGAGTGACACGCTATCATCCCTGCCCAACTCACCCCACCATTCCGTATTATCCATCTCCCCGCCACCAATATTGCTTGATTCTTCGTCTACCAGTTATTTTCACATCGGACCGTCGGAAAACAGAGAGAAAACGTGGCCGGTTGGGGCGAAAAGAGAAGTTCATCATTGGCTTAGTATACATTCTGACAATGATTTCCCTAGACTCTTTTTTCTTTATTAATTGCCCACCATCTATTGCAACGGCCCCACCCCCGCCGCATCGCCTGTGTTTTCACCTTCTCTCATCTCCCCACCAGCCCTCTACCGGGTGCCGCCATATTTATCCATTCCTGGAGTCACCTCTTCTCGCTTCCCCCATCTTTACATTTACCTCTTTTGGTTGCTTCAATACTGTTATCAGCGTTCCAGCACTGTCATACGGTACGTGTATTCAGGAAAGGGAAGAAGAATTAGTCTTGGAGAAAGTAAAGAAGGAAGAATTAGTCTTGGGGAAATTAAAAAAAAGAAGAATTAGTCTTGGAGAAAGTAAACAAGAAAGAATTAATCTTCGGGATAGAAAAGGAGAAATTAGTCGATGAGAAAATAAAGAAGGAAGAATTAGTCTTGGGGAAAGTGAAGAAGGAATAAAGAAGGAATAATTAGTGCTGGAGAATGCAAAGAAGGAATAATTTATCTTGGGAAAAGTAAAGAAGGAAGAATTAGTCTTGGAGAAAGTAAAGAAGGAAGAATTAGTCTTGGGGAAATTAAAAAAAAGAAGAATTAGTCTTGGAGAAAGTAAACAAGAAAGAATTAATCTTCGGGAAAGAAAAGAAGAAGAAATTAGTCGTTGAGAAAATAAAGAAGGAAGAATTAGTCTTAGGGAAAGTGAAGAAGGAATAAAGAAGGAATAATTAGTGCTGGAGAATGCAAAGAATGAATAATTTATCTTGGGAAAAGTAAAGAAGGAAGAATTAGTCTTGGAGAAAGTAAAAAAGAAAGAATTAGTAAAGAAGGGAGAATTACTCTTGGTGGAAATCAAAATGGAAGAATTAGTCTTGGGAAAAATAAAGATGAAGAATTAGTCTTGGAAAAAATAAAGAAGCAAGAATTAGTCTTGGAGAATGTAAATAAGGAAGAATTAGTCTTGGAGAATGTAAATAAGGAATAATTAGTCTTGGAGAATGTAAATAAGGAAGAATTAGTCTTGGAGAATGCAAAGAAGGAAGAATTAATCTTCGGGAAAGTAAAAAAAGTAGTATTAGTATTTGATAAAATAAAGAAGGAAAAATTAGTCTTTGATAAAATAAAGAAGGAATAATTAGTCTTGGAGAATGTAAATAAGGAAGAATTAGACTTGGAGAATGTAAAGTAGGAATAATTAGCCTTGGAGAATGTAAAAAAGGAAGAATTAGTTTTGGAGAATGTAAAGAAAGAATAATTAGTCTTGGTGGAAATAAAGAAGAAAGAATTAGTCATGGGAAAAACAAAGAAAGTAAAATTAGTCTTGGATAAAGAAAATCAGGGAGAATTTGAGAAGGAATGAAGTGGAAGAAGAAAAGCAAAAGTATTAGAATGAATGAAAAGAGAAAGGACAGAGAATGAATGAAGTAGGGTGAAGAAGAAAAACAACAACAAGAAAAGAAAGAAAACGAAAGAATTATGGATGAAGGATGGTGAAGAAGAGGAACAAAAAGAAAGAAAGTGAAGAAATGCGTGAATGAAGTCAGGTGAAGAGGAAAAAGAAAGGAAACGAAAGATTATGAATGAAGTAGAGTGAAAAGAAAGAAAGAAAACGAATGAATTATGAATGAAGTAGGGTTAAGTAGAAGAAGAAGAAGAAGATAAGAAGAAGAAGAAAAGAAGAAGATAAGAAGAAGAAGAAGAAGAGAAGAAGAAGAAAAAGAAGATAAGAAGAAGAAGAAGAAGAAGAAGAAGAAGAAGATAAGAAGAAGAAGAAGAAGAAGAGAAGAAGAAAAAGAAGAAGATAAGAAGAAGAAGAAGAGAAGAAGAAGAAGAAGATAAGAAGAAGAAGATAAGAAGAAGAAGAAGAAGAAGATAAGAAGAAGAAGAAGAAGAAGAAGATAAGAAGAAGAAGAAGAAGAAGAGAAGAAGAAGAAGAAGAAGAAGAAGAAGAAGAAGAAGAAGAGAAGAAGAAGAAGAAGAAGAAGATAACAACAAGAAGACAACAACAAGAAGAAGAAGATGACGACTCAATCAATCAATCAATGGCGAAGGTGAAAAGTTAGAGAAAATATAACTGCAAGAAGATGAAAACAATTGATTGGCCTTATAAATGTAGAAATAAATGAAACGACACATGAATAAAAAAAAATGAAGGAAGAAATACATTCATTCAGAGAAAAAGAAGAAGAAGAAGAAGAGGAAGGTGTTTCTTTATTGTTTATGATTGCTAGCAAAGATCCTACCACCCGGCGCGGTGCATGCATAATCTATTCCCGTTCTGTTTCTGTCATCTCATCATTGTTGCCGTATCAAAGTCAGTAATTAGAAATATTTTGTCCAATATTTCTGCTCATTGTTTACGACGCTACCGATAGAAAAAAAATATCAAGAGAAATAAAGAAGAAAAGAAAAGAGCGAATAGCAAGAGAAAAAAAAATGAAAGAAAAGAAGTAACACGAATTTCGTGAAAAAGAAAGAAACGAAAAGAAAAGAAAGAATGGGATTTGAAAAATAAAAAAGCAAAATAAAAATGTTATAAAAAATCCAAAGCAAATAAAAGTTAGTGGAAAAAAATGAAAAAAATAGAATCAAATAAAAAAACAATGAAAACGAAAATGACAAAAAAAAAAAGAATGGACAGAGAGAGAGAGAGAGAGAGAGAGAGAGAGAGAGAGAGAGAGAGATTAATTGACTGAGATAGATAGATAGATAGATAGATAGATAGATAGATAGATAGATAGATATGAAAAGACTGGAATAAGTTAGATAGATACATAGATAGATAGATATTAACTAATTGGGATAGATAGATAGATAGATAGATAGATAGATAGATAGATAGATAGATATGAAAAGACTAGAATAAGATAGATAGATAGATAGATAGATAGATAGATAGATAGATAGATATGAAAAGACTGGAATAAGATAGATAGATAGATAGATAGATAGATAGATAGATAGATAGATAGATAGATATGAAAAGACTGGAATAAGATAGAGATAGATAGATAGATAGATAGATAGATAGATATGAAAAGACTGGAATAAGATAGATAGATAGATAGATAGATAGATAGATAGATAGATATGAACAAATTGTGAAAAAATAGACAAATCTGTGTTTTTCTTGTGGTGGGGTACGGTATATCAACCTCAATGGGTTGTTTAATACTGACAAACTTTATTTAATTTTTTTTTTTCCTTCAAAATCTATTTCTGGTAATATTTTTTTCAGAAAAAATGAAAAGTTTGTTTTTTTTTAATGTATAGCTGGTAATATTATTTTTTTTCAAAAATGTATTGCTGGTAATAATTGTTTCCTTCAAAAATTTATCGCTGGTAATAATTGTTTACTAAGTATTTCTGGTATTAAAACCTATTTTTTCGCATTTATAATGCTTTTTACCTCAGTTTCAGGGATAACTATTTGCCCATAGCTGGGACCCCAACAGGTGTTACCACCCCGGGTCAGGGTGGAGCTGGGAACACCAGCAATTAAGAGGTGGTTCCACGCTCCTCAATATCTCCTGATCAAAGGTCCTGCTGTCGGACGTAGTTTATCGTCATACCCAGGACGCGGATGTAATTTATCGCCTTACCCAGGGCGGGATAGATAGATATAGATAGATAGATAGATAGATAGATAGATAGATAGAGAGAGAGAGAGAGAGAGAGAGAAAGTGAGAGAGAGATGAAAATACTGGGATAAGAAAGAAAGAAAGTATGTTTGTTTCTTTGTTTGTTTGTCTCTTTGTTTCTAACAAAGAACGAAAGAAACAAACAAACAAACAAACAAAGACAAGTAGACATTTGTTGCAGACAAATAAATGATTGCACAAATAAAGTAGCCGTGATTCGAAAGATGAAAAGTGGGATAACCGAAGCAGGAGAGAAAGAAAAGAAACAAAAAGGATTACGAGAACGAGATGTTTATGTGTGATGTGGGATTTTATATCAATAACTTTGTAGTTTTTCAGTCGGCTAAGGTGAATTTGACCTCAATATTTTCAATGTATAATATTCTATTTATTTCCTGAACTATGCCGCGTTGGTTTAAGTACATTAACAAACAATGGTTGAGGTAGAAGCAGCAGCTCAGATAGAAAGATAAAAAATAAATTTTAAAAATTGCATAATTGGGAGAATCATGTTGTCCAGAATTAAATTCTATGTACGAAAGTATTTATAAAAAAGACCCAGGGAAGCTACGTTACGGCGATGGGAAAGGTAATTTCAAAAATTATTGTTTGAATCAAAAGTTTTAGAAAAAAAATCAATCGAGAGTAGCAGTGCCAAAGTGACTGAAGCCGAGATGCCAAGCCAGGACGAATAACATTGCAGATTCTCCTTTGGTTTTATCAAGCACGGATCATTGAGAAATGTGCGCAAGAGCAGCTGTGATTGGATCCTAATAGATATGGGCGTAGCGAGGTTTGACGCACGGTGACCGTTAATATTAAAGTATAACTCAAGAATTTAATGTTAATATAAAACAGTATATAATTACAACCACAAATAAATAATCAACAAGAATAAAGAAGTAAAAGTCAACCATAGATAATTAACCATTTCAGTGAATACCTTGTTAGTAGCGCGGTTCGGCTTAACGTCCGAAAATCCTAGATCAAAACCCAAATCATCGACGCACAATAATTCACACTAATTCGACTGGATAGTTCCACTCAATACTCACACAATAATCACTGCAGTCAGTAGCCTGACACTGCTATTTATACACCTGGCGGAAAACATATATTCATAAGTCCAGAATCTCACGCTCGAACGTCGGTGTTGGTAGTTACTCATTATCTTCCTCTATGATATATATATATATATATATATATATATATATATATATACTCAATTTCTTCCTATAATATATATATAAATATATTATTGAAATTTATATATTTCTTTTACTATATTTTCTTTCGTAAATTACATATATATATAGATATATATAATTCTACATAACATTATTGGAATGTACAAGACCTTATATATATATATATATATATATATATATATATATATATATATATATATATATATATGGGGGCTGCGTGTGTGTCATGTGTGTGTGTGCACGCGCGTGTCTGTGTGTAATTTTGTGACGTGCAGATGGCCGTTAATTAATTAAAAGTATAACTCAAGACTTCAATGTTAAGATAAAGCAGTATTTAATTACAACCGCGGAGAAATATTTAACAAGAATAAAGAAGTAAAAGTCAACCAAAGATAATTAACTATTCTAGTGAATACCTTGCTAGTAGCGAGGCTCGGCTTAACGTCCGGTAAATCCTAAATCAAAACCCAAATCATCGACGCACAATAATTCACACTAATTCGACTGGATCGTTCCACTCAATTGTCATTCATTAGTGACTCAGCAATCACTGCAGTCAGTAGCCTGACATCGATATTTACACATCTTTCAGAAAACATATAATCATAAGTCCAGAGTGTCACGCTCAAACCTCGGTGTCGGTAGTTACTTATTTTCTTCCTATATGACATGAGGTAAGAACCTCGTGATGGCAGAGATGGCGAAAAACGGAGGGGGCAAGAAGTATGCCAAGCGGCAGAACACGTTACCCATTTTCTGGACGGAGCACTCGTGATTATTTCCAGGACCATTTCTGCGTCGTATAAAGCTTTAGCGATACCTGCAATTGTTGAGATGCGCAGGTGGCAGCAATGTCGATCTTGACAAAAAAACATAATTGAAATGTTCGTATTGAAGCTTTCGGTGCGTCTCTAAGCTGCGTTTATGCGAGATATGACCATCACAATCTTATTCCGTGTCGCGTTCCTTCAGGCCATAGGCGACCACGGTTCTCCACAACTTCCTATCTCTTCTGGCTCTTAGAAATTTTCTCCCTTTGCGAAGACTCTCACCAACCATTCAACAATGACCTTCAAATAGGTGGCTGGCTTCTTTTCCCTCTCTCTCTTGTCCTCAATATGGCCGGTGAGTGTTAATTTTTCCAAGCCCTTTTTCCTCGTTATGTGTTCACCCGAACGATCATCGAAGTTAAGCAACGTCAATCCTGTTCAATTGTTTAGGAAAATACGTTTCTCAAGTCCATTAACTGTTATCGCTCTTTCCAGTACTGATCGGGGTTTCCTACCTAAAACTTTTGTTTCCTGTGTAAGACGATAAACTACATCCACGTCTTGGCTAAAACGATAAACTACGTTCAATACTAAGGCTTCTTAATTGCTGGTGTTCCCAGAACCACACTGACCCGGAGTGGTAGCACCTGTTAGGGTCCCAGCTGAGGCTAAATAATTAACCCCCAAACTGGGATAAAAAACTCTATGAAAATGTAAAAATAGATTTTGTTACCAGCAATAAATTTTTAAAGGAAAAAATATTACCAGCAATACTTTTTTTTTTTTTTTGGAGAAAATATCAGCAATAAAAATATCTTGTCGGCATTAACACGACCCATTGAGATGTTGATATGCCGTAAAATAAAACAAACCAAACCAAACAACTAAATGATCGAATGAGTTTCTTGATGTAAAGATGAACACCCTTAAGAAAGTCTTGTATACTTGACTTAAAACCAAAAATAATATTATACTAAATTATAAAAATATTACCAGCAATAAAAATCTTGTCGGTATTAAATAACCCATTGAGGTGTTGATATGCCAAAAAAACAAACCAAACCAAACAACTAAAAGGATCGAATCAGTTTCTTGATGTAAAGATGAACATCGTTAAGAAAGTCGCCGTTTTGACTTAAAACCAAAAATAATATTATGTTAAATTAAAAATATTACCAGCTATAAAAATCTTGTCGGTATTAAATAACCCATTGATTTTGTTGATATGCCGTAAAACAAACCAAACCAAACAACTAAAGGATCGAATCAGTTTCTTTTGATGTAAAGATGAACATCGTTAAGAAAGTCCGTAAACTTGACTTAAAACCAAAAATAATATTATGTTAAATTATAAGAATATTACCAGCTATAAAAATCTTGTCGGTATTAAATAACCCATTGAGGTGTTGATATTTGAAAAAACAAACCAAACCAAACAACTAAAGGATCGAATCAGTTTCTTGATGTAAAGATGAACATCGTTAAGAAAGTCGCCGTATTTGACTTAAAACCAAAAATAATATTATGTTAAATTATAAGAATATTACCAGCAATAAAAATCTTGTCGGTATTAAATAACCCATTGAGGTGTTGATATGCCGTAAAACAAACCAAACCAAACAACTAAAGGATCGAATCAGTTTCTTGATGTAAAGATGAACATCGTTAAGAAAGTCGCCGTACTTGACTTAAAACCAAAAATAATATTATGTTAAATTATAAGAATATTACCAGCTATAAAAATCTTGTCGGTATTAAATAACCCATTGAGGTGTTGATATGCCGTAAAACAAACCAAACCAAACAACTAAAGGATCAAATCAGTTTTTGATGTAAAGATGAACATCGTTAAGAAAATCGCCGTATTTGACTTAAAAACCAAAAATAATATTATGTTAAATTATAAGAATATTACCAGCAATAAAAATCTTGTCGGCATTAAATAACCCATTGAGGTGTTGATATGCCGTAAAACAAACCAAACCAAACCAAACAACTAAAGGATCGAATCAGTTTCTTGATGTAAAGATGAACATCCTTAAGAAAGGCGCTGTACTTGACTTAAAACCAAACAAAACCTTTTGCTTCAAGTAGGTTGAAATGTCAACATACCAATTATGTTATTGTACTTAGAAGACAACGTGTGACTAAGACATGCAAAATCCATCACTGAATAATTTCCCGCGTTTATGTGAATATTAAGTTGTACGATGGTGGGATGAAATGTTCATAGGCTACCACATATGGAACAGTGCTCCGGTTGTATATTTAGAGATTCTTGATAAAATCCAAAGAAGAATCAACAATATTATTGGTCCTGACCTGACATCTCGGCTTCAGTCACTTTGCCACTGCTACTTTCGATTGAATTTTTTTCGATTTGAAATTACCTTTCTCAAATCCATTAACTCGAGTGCTCTTTCAAGGACTGATGTTTCCTTCCTAACCTTTTGTTTCAAGTAGGGTGGAACATCAGCATATGGATTATATCATTTGTTTTTTAGGGTTTTTTTTTCTCTCCGAGATCCATGTAATATCTATTTCAATTACTAAAATTTATACAGTGTAACCCGGATATAAGAGAGTTGTCGGGACCAGAGAAGAAGTATCTTATATCCGGGTTTCTCTTATATCCGGGTTTGGTCTATTTTGTTTAGGCAAGTATGGGAACACTTTGGGACCAGAGAAAATCTCTCTTATATCTGGGTTTCTCTTATATCCGGGTCTCTTACATCCAGGTTACACTGTATATGTCTTTTATTTATGTATTTTAATATATTTTCTTTCCCATATTTTTGCTTGTTTCTAAGATTTTGGCTACCGGTTCTCCTCTGATTACCGAAGTTGAGCAACGTTGAACCTAGTCAGAACTTAGATAGGTGACCGCTTGGGAATACCAGGTGCTGTAGCCGTAGATGTGCGGCTGGTGTAATGGATAACGGTTCAGAATTGTTAATTCGAGAGCCGAGTTCCAAATACAGTTGGGTTCGTTATATGCACCCTATGCTATGGGTTAATTATTTAAACTTGTATGACTAAGTCAAAAATTTCTAAATATTTTTCTGGCATTAAATAACCTGCAAAGAGTTGATAAACCGTAAAAAAATGGATCGATCAATCGTTATGCGTCCAAGGAATTGCAGCTGTCTTTTTTTCCTGATTTCGAATAGATGTGTAAACCATTTTTTGAGAAT